GCAGCAGGAAAGCTGATGTTTCAGGTCTGGACCCTTCTTCAGAAAAATGAATTTTTCTGAAGAAGGGTTCTGACCCGAAACGTCAGCTTTCCTGCTCCTCTGATGCTGCCTGGCCTGCTGTGTTCATCCAGCTCCATACCTTGTTATCTCAGACTCCAGCATCGGCAGTTCCTACTATCTCTGAAAGAATAATTAAGTTTGCTACGCGCTGCATTAGAGCCTATGAAGTCTGCCCTTTTTGCAAGAGGGGAGGATATTGACTAGGGCACCAGGAGAAGGTCTTTTCTTTGAACATGTCGGAGGTGTATGTAGCCAATGCCAGGGTGGCTGGCAAAGGTGGCTGCTCAGCTGGCTGCGTATGCTCAGACAGCCACTTGCGAGAGTGCCATCTGGCATTGTCGCTGGCTTCACCTACTATCCCTCTTTTCACTGCCCCTCCCACTAACTTCAAGTCTTGTTACTTTGTGCAGGGAGTGGGGCAGTGAATGAGGTTAGTGGGGCATCCAAGGCCTCTTTCTGAGTGCGCCTCAGGGTCAACCAATTTCTCATTCCTTTCAGTGGCATCTCTTGCATGGATTCCAAAGCTGTGCAGGCTAGATGGATTGGCCATGGTGAATGAAGAGTTATGGGGATAGGCTGGGGGACTGGGCCTGGGTGGGATGCTGTTCGGAGTGTTGGTGCAGACCTGATCGGCCGAATAGCCTCTTTCCGCACTGTAGGGATTCAATGATTCTGTGGATGCTTTAGCAGTGCAGTGCTGCATTTCTAATAAAACCACTCGCTATCAAGGCTGTCCCAACAGATTGGAATGCCTGTTGATTTTAGTGAATCAATGCTCAGGAATCCAGCTGCAAATCTGTGCCACATGGATGCTGGGAACAGTGGGCGACATAAGTTGCAAAACCCACCAGCAGACAAGGGCCTGATTGAGTGTCTGTGGCACCTCCTGCAGTGCTGCACTCCAGCAACCCTGCACTGACCTCTCAGCCACACTCTAGTGTCCGGACTCGAGTTTGAACTGGAAACTTCTGCCTCTGAGGGTACCAGCTAACATCAGCCAGTCACAAACAGAATGGAACAGCCTTCCGTCTGAAGTACTGTGTCAAGTTTTGGTCTCGTAACTTGGGAAAGGATGTAATTGCATTGAGGACAGTTGAAAGAAGATGGAAGGCTTGGCTTATGAGGAGAGACTGAGCAATTTAGACCCGATCTCAATAGAGTTTAAGAAGATGAAGGAGATTTAATTGAGATATGGAAGATGCTAAGGGGAGAGAGCTTGTTTCCCCTTGTGTGGCAATCTAAAAGGAGAGGTTATAGTTTTAGAATAAGGTGTGGCAGATTTAAAATAGAGATGAGCAGGAATTACCTGTCAAAGGGCTGAGATTCTGTAGAAAGAACTACTCCAGAAGGTGGTGGATACTGGGACATTGAATACATTGAAGGAAGAGATAGCTTTTTAATTAGTAATGGGTTAAAGGGTTAAGGAGAGTGGGCAGGAAAGTGGAGCTTGTGGCCAAGATGAGATTGTCCATGACCGTATCAAATGGAGGAGCAGGCTCAAGGGGCTGAATTACCTACTCCTGCTCCTAGTTCTTATGTACCAGACTGAAGTAGACCCAGTCTCTGACTAAGAAGGGGCTGATAATCCTTGTAGTAGCCAGGGGGTTTGTGTGTTGCACTGCATTGAGACAGCGATCTTAAAACCACTGACAATCACATGAATGAACTTCCTGAGGAAGTGGTGGATGTGGGTACAGTTACAATGTTTACAAGACATTTGGATAAGCACATGAATAGGAAAGGTTTGGAGGGATATGGGCCAGGAGCAGGCAGATAGACTGGTTTAGTTTGGGATTATGTTCGGCATGGACTAGTTGGACCGAAGGGTCTGTTTCTGTGCTGTATGACTCTATGTGGAGCAAATACTGTAGCTATTAATGTGTGCTTATGCCATTTCCCAAGAGACTAGCCTGACACCAGTGATTGGCAATGTTGTGCTGTGTAGAATCTGAGAGGATTTCAATTTCTGTGATGACAGTCATTCGCAAGAACTATGGTCTTATGGGAGAGGGGAGAGGTTGGTTGCAGTGGGTGACGGTACAGTACACGGAGGTAATAATGCGTTGCCTGATGCTAGTTAACTCAAATTTTAATGCTCAGTCGAGGTAAAAGGATTCCTTGCAGAGGCTGTGTTTGTGAGAAATTCTTAAATGGAATGTGCTGTGGTATGAGCTTTCACCAATATGAAAGAAAATAGACAATAATAATGCATTTTTCAAGCCACTCAGCAGGTAATTGTAGATAGCTGACACAATTGATAGATGCACCCGAACCATAGCAGTAATGTATGCAAGCAGATCAGTGAATGATCAAAGTGAGAGAGATCACCATTTCTTCAAAGTGGAATGTAACCTGTAAGACAACCCTTCATACAACTGCACTGTCAGCATGTGCTGCTGAGTTGAACCTAACTGATCGGAATCTCTGTCATGCTCCAGGACCATGCATGAGGGCAGAGACTCCCAAAATGCTACATCCCACAGCGCCTTCATTTCTGATGACATGGGGATGAGGCTTCAAAGGAAGAGACATTGGTTTGCTCCTGAGTGAATTGAACTGCTTGTTTGGAATGAGGGTCGAATTGCCTGGCTTTTAGATTCTAGAATGCACTGGTAATCAGATTTTTCAAAGCTAAATATCTCTTCTCAAGGGCAACACGCATTCCAGTATCCTTTTATTCTCATGCTAAGGAAAGGTCTTTGCTGACTGTGACTATGTTCATCACAGACCTTCATTTCCTTACACACTAGAAGGGTTGTCTTCTGTCACTGCTATTTTGTGGTAAGGATAATGTAACCAGGAGGGCGTATGGTTAGACTGCATTGACACAAACCAATGAAAGGACTTAATTTGTGGAGTTTTGTCTAGAGGCATGTCAATTGAAAAGATCTTCATCCTGATTTTATCAGATGATTTGAGAAGGGTCTTTAATTCCTTGTGAACATCTCTGAGGTGATTTATAATTGATTGTCGGGTGCACGACTGGGTATTAGCCTCTTGCCATTGGTCCACCCTTAGGCAGTTTTCTGACCGAGAGAGTCTGTTTGATGTAGAGATGCCCACAGTTATTATATGCAGGGAGTTCCAGGATTTTAACCCAGTGGCAGTAAAGGAACAGTGGTATATGTCCAAGTCAGGATGGTGAGTGGCTTGGAGGAGGACTTGCAGGGGGTGGTGTTCCCATGCCCTCGTCCCTTCTTGCTGGTAGAGGTTTCAGGTTTGGAAGGTCCTGTTGTTGACTTGCTGCTGCTATGTGACAGTCACAGAGGGGAGTAAATGTTAAATGTGGTGGATGGGGTGCCAATCAAGCAGGTTGGTTTAGTCCTGGATAATGTTGAGCTTCTGTAGTGTTGCTGGAGCTGCCCCATCCAGACCAGAGGAAGGTATTCCATCACACTGCTGACTGTGTCATGATAGCAGTAATATATGGACTCTCAATTTTCAGCTTCCATCATTTGCTTTTTAACTTCTGAGGCCTTTTGTGGGCTGAAGTGATTTTAAAAGGACGCAGATTGACCGGAAATGGCTGCAATGATTATGTGACCACAGACTGCATCAGGTAAATCAAAGTAGAATAAACAAGACAGAACTGCAGTTACTATTTTACCTAAAGTCAATGCGACCAGACACTGAGTCAGATCATCAAGAAATTCACATCTCTTATTGCACTTTGCTTCTGCTTGATACATATTGAACATGAAAGGTTGTCTGTGGATTACGCAGCTTGCAAGAAAACAGTGAAACTAAACATGGGAATACGCAAAGGACCTGTATTTCAGTCGCAGTAGCAACAGAAAAAAAGAGCTATAGATTGGTAGTAACAAAATCTGAAAGTCTCTCCCTCTCTGTTTTTCTCCCTGTTAAATTGTAAGATCTCAAGGACTCTAAGGACTTGTAAGTAGCATAGCCTTTTTCTCTTGTCTGTACACATCCTTTTCTAACCTTCGTGCCTATGTTTGTGTACGTTTGGTGATTTTTTTTCATGGATTGTAAGTAATAAAACTGCTCCTACTTTCACTCAAGTAAAGCTGGTGATCAACTCCTTAATTTTAACAGCATTAGTTGCAGAAAAGAAATTTAGTGATTTGTTGTTACTAAGAGGAGCAGGGCCCCTCCACTCCTGGTTGTAACCCATTTTGGTAGCTTGGCTGGTGGAATTGGAATGGAGGAAAATAAATTGTTTTTAAAGAAAACTGGAAACTGTGAAAAGATTTCCTTCAGACTGTAATATCAAAGAACTAAGGTGCCCACTTTAAATGGTAATGCTTTTGTGGAGCATAATGTTTGGCAAATTAAATGCCTTAACTTTGGAAGAATTAAAAGAGATAGCTAGACATGTAAAGATGAAGTTTCACCCGAAAGCTAGAAAAACAGAAATTGCAAAACGGGCAGTGAAATGTTCAGAAGTGGAAATTGAAGGTAGCAGATGCATTAAAATTGGAAAACCTGAGGGAAGTGGGACTTCAACAGAAAATAGAAGCAACTTTCACAAAAGAAGAAAAGTGAGGCTGGAAAAGGAAGAAGAGAGAGAGAGACGGAAACGAGAGCAGGGAGACGAAAGAGAATTCCCTGAGGGGGAAAACCAAAGAGAAAGGGAGTTTAAATTGAGACAGCTCAAGCTGACTAACTCATACCTAAGGGCTGAAGTATTCAGGTCTACCCATTAAATCACTACACTGGATGTGGGAAGGGCGTTTGCCTTCTTTATATCTTTTGACAGTTTAGCACAGCAACTAAAGTGTCCAGTCCAACAATAAAAACATAAAGTCACCATAGTCTTGCTAGACCGTGGGGCTGCTCTCATTAGAGAGAGAGAGAGAGACAATTGGTAGTGGTTTAACCTGAGGATCCCCATGCCTCAGACAAAGGGGACAGGCTGAGAAAGTGGGTCCTTCACGGTAATCTCGGCTGGTGCAGGAACTGAACCTACACTTTTGGCAACACTAACCAGCTGTCCAGCCAACAGAGCTAACCCATGCTACAGCTATCGAGCAGGCAGACGAGGAAAGTTCATGAAGTTTGCTCTTTCATACCTGAGGCGAGAACCATGGACTTTGAGACAGCAAAAGAGGTTATTTCAAGTGCATGCTAATACAAGCAAAAATTCTGCATCCTCAAGTAACAGTGTGAGCAGACATCCCTGAATTTGAATGGGCTTACCAGCTCACTTTTAACTGAAGTATATGAGCACTTAAAATTAAGACCATGCATAAAAACTGCCTTCATGTAGTAATTCTTCTAGAGGAGCTCCAAAACTGAATATCCTTTGCTCTCCGGGTGTACATGGAAGAACAGGAGATGGTAGCAGGGCCCAGCGTGGTAACTATTGGTGAGTTGCTGCCACTGTGGGTCAGTCACAGAGGGGATTGAATGTTAAATGGGATGTCAATCAAGCAGAGATAGTAGGAACTGCAGATGCTGGAGAATCCGAGACAACAAGGTGCAGGGCTGGATGAACACAGCAGGCCAAGCAGCATCATAGGAGCAGAGAGGCTGACGTTTCGGGCCTAGACCCTTCATCAGAAAAGGGGGAGGGGAAGGGGGTTTTGAAATAAATAGGGAGAGAGTGGGAGGCGGATAGAAGAGGGATAGAGGAGAGGATAGGTGGAGAGGAAACAAACAGGTCGAAGAGGCGGGGATGGGGCCAGGAAAGGTGAGTGTAGGTAGGGAGTTAGGAAGGGGATAGGTCAGTCCAGGGAGGACGGACAGGTCAAGGGGGCGGGATGAGGTTGGTCGGTAGGAGATGGAGGTGCGGCTTGAGGTGGGAGGAGGGGATAGGTGGGAGGAAGAACAGGTTAGGGAGGCAGGGACGAGTTGGACTGGTTTTGGGATGCGGTGGGGGGAGGGGAGATTTTGAAACTTGTGAAATCCACATTGATACCATTGGGCTGCAGGGTTCCCAAGCGGAATATGAGTTGCTGTTCCTGCAACCTTCGGGTGGCATCGTTGTGGCACTGCAGGAGGCCCAGGATGGACATGTCGTCTGAGGAATGGGAGGGGGAGTTGAAATGGTTCGCGACTGGGAGGTGCAGTTGTTTGTTGCGAACCGAACGTAAGTGTTCTGCAAAGCGGTCCCCGAGTCTCCGCTTGGTTTCCCCGATGTAGAGGAAGCCACACTGGGTACAGCGGATGCAGTATACCGCATTGGCAGATGTGCAGGTGAACATCTGCTTGATGTCAATCAAGCAGGTTGGTTTAGTCCTAGATAGTGTTGAGCCTCTGCAGTGTTGTTGGAGCTGCACCATCCAGAGAAGGGGAAGGTATTCCAACACACTACTGGCTTGTGGCATGATAATATACGGACTCTCAATTTCAGCTTCCATCATTTCACTTTTAATTCCTGAGGCCTTTTGTAGTCTAAAGTGATGTTAAAAGGACATGATCTGACCTAAAAGGGCTGCAATGATCACATGACCATGGATTGCGTCAAATAAATCAATGCAAAATAAAGAAAACAGTCAGAACTGAAATTACCATTTTCTGTAAGGTCAATGAGACCAGTCGCTGAGTCAGAACATCAAGAAACTCACATTCCCATAGGCTGATGATTTTAACACACAGACTATAACCTGGCTCACATAACAGAGAGTAATAAATGTAAGGTGAATATGCCTGAAGCAAGTGGAACAGTCAAAGGAAGTTTGGCAGCTTGAGTAGAACCATCTCGGACTATTGCAAGAAGGGACCCAGTGGGAAATAGTCCCAAGTGTTTGCACTGCAGAAGGCCGGAGAGTATAAAGGAAAATTGTTTGTTCTGTCTGTCCCTAGAAACTCAAGCTGTGAAGCCATCGCGTGCAACATTAACATTGGTCACTGTCTGCTCAGGTATGACTGTTGACCCTCAGAGCTCTCAAGAATTTTTGTCAAAAAGGAATGGTGACCACTCACTGTTTTAAACAGCTAGAAAGATACACCAACATTCTCTGAGACAGTCCTTGCTAAGCAGGGGAGAATCAAAGGTTCTTCACCTGGAAGAACATTAAATCCCAGTGTGCTGGTAAAGAACTGATGAAAAAGATTATAAAGGAGCACTGGTTAAAATTTACTCTGAGAGTGACTAGTATCAATGGGGACAGTGCCAGTACCAGGGATAGATGTTTTATTGGGAAACAACATGGTTTGGCAGCAAGATAGCTCCCTCAAATTGAAAAGGACAGTCCAGTTGACAGAAAAAAAAAAGTTGGTAGCTAGTGACAGAAAGTTTGGGAGAACTAAGACTCATAGAGTGTAATAAATTCCTTGAGGATTGACTCAAGGTGGGTCACTTACATTAACCCAGAGGGAAGTGCCTTAAAAGGCCTGGAGCTGTTAGAGGTCCTTAAACCTGCTCAGGAAGGGTCATCTGAATGAAATGGGCCAAGGGAGGCCGACAGTATCAGAAATGGTCAGAACAGAATCCGAAGGGATTAGATAGCAGAGAGTTAGGCCAGTCACCATAAAAGAAGGCAGGAAAGGGCCACGGAAGCTGACAATGGCTGGCAAACCAGAGCCAGAAATCTGGCTATCTGAACCCTCAGGGTATAATTACAAGGGGAATCAATGGCATTCTCAAACAGGCCAAGAGTAAGTGAAGGTGAAGCCTCACACAGTGAAAGAGCCGCAGGGGAGGATAGTAGAACCTGAACATCCACCTCGTAGCAGTAGCGTTCCAGGGAAAGTGAGGCATGTTCGGGACTCACCCCAGAAAAGGGAAGCGAACATCCCCACCACAGGCATCATTAGTGGTGGCCACCATTTAAACCATGTACCACTAGGGGTCCAAGGAACAAAACCTCGAGCACCCCAGTCGGTTTGGTGTCGAGTTAAATGAGAATGAGGTATAGCAATCAAGACCAGGCTCCCTGCAGGAGACAAACCTCAAATTAACACCGACCATCCTCTTAGAAGGGTCTCACTGCCTGGGCCAGCATTTATTGCCCATCTCCAGTAGCCCTTGAGAAGGTGGTGGTGAGCTGCCTTCTTGAACCGCTGCAGTCCATTTGCACAGCACTTCTCTTCTGGTGATAATTAACCAGGGAGAACACCTCTGCTATTTGTAGAAACAGACTCAGGAGACCTTTAAATTCGAAAGCAGTCGATGGCTCAGTTTAATGGCTCGTCTGCGTAGAAAAAAATGAAGAAATATAGAAAATAGGAGCAGGAATAGGCCATTTGGCCCTTCAAGCCTGCTCCACCATTCAATATGATCATGTCTGATCATTCAACTCAGTACCCTGTTCCTGCATTTTCCCCATAATCCCTTGATCCCTTTAGCCCTAAGGAACTATATGTAACTGCTTCTTGAAAATATTCAATGTTTTGGCCTCAGTTGCTTTCGGTGGCAGTGAATTCCATAGGCTCACCACACTCTGGGTGAGGAAACTTCTCATCTCGGTCTGCCTCATATCCTTAGAGAGTGACCCCTGGTTCTAGGCTCTCTGGTCATTAGGAACATCCTTCCTGCAACTAGGCTTGTTAGAATTTATTGGTTTCTACGAGATCCACCTGCATTCTTCTTCTAAGTTGAGATGACCAACATCAATGGTAGTGAATGGGTAAGTGGATGAAGAAGTGAATGGGGCAGAGCAGACAGGCTGGTGAGGTACCTGGATGAGTGGGTAGGTTAGTTGAGACAGTAGGTGGATAGGGTGACCAGTGGGTGAGGTGATAGGTGAATAGAGTGGCAGTTAGGTGAGAGGGCAGGCAATTGAGGTGGCAACTGGGTGAGTTGGTAGGTGGAGATGGCCACAGATAGATGAGGTAGTGAATCGGGTGGCCAAGGGGCCATCGGGATGTGGTCGGGTTCATCAAGGACATAGCAGGACAGACAGCAATCAGGTACCAGAGGAGGTGGCCAAGGATTAGGGGTATTTAGAGATCCGGAGGGTAGTCCACAAGTCTGGTGGGGTTGGGTGCCCATGTAAGTGTTTGGGGTGTCACTTCTGTAAGAGATATGATAAAACCCAAGAATTAGGCTGTGATTTTTTTTGTTTCCTAACATTTCCTGAGTAATTACCCAGGTCAGTATGTCAGAGCTGTCCAAAACCTGAGTTGTAATTCTGAATCGAGAACTACTGCAGAAGACAGACTCACCCATTGGAAGTTGAAACTTCCTGGGCCAAATCCTGATGTACATCCTGGAGCCTGGGAGATTTGAGCCTGTGTGTAATGACCAAGCGGGCAGAGGTGTAAGTTGTGGGGGACAATGTGAACTGGTAGTTACCTCTCGTTCTCTTGCTTTTCCAGGTGGCACACTGCAATCGCCCTGTTAGCTTCAAAGAAGGTGGATGTCAAACCTCTGATCACTCATCGTTTTGGACTGGAGCAGGCCCAGGAAGGATTTGAATGCGTGAAGAAGGGAGCTGGAATCAAAGCGGTCATCAATTGTGAACAGCAGCAGTGCCCATCGCTGTGCCCACAGAACCAATGCGGCCAACAACAATCACAGTGCCAGACAAGACAGTGTCCCCAGCACAGCTTCTTCTGATTGTTTGGTTTGCACAATTACAGTTTTGACCACTGTAAAAGTAACATCACCCAGCCAATTGACCTTCTGCAATAAACACTGTGTATAACTGTGGTGCCAGACCTCTGTTTATTAACATTGCATTGTCCCCACTCCAGTTTATGATCTCTCTCCACTTTTAGATTTCAGTAGATACTTCATGAACAAATTAAGGATCTCCAAGGGATATATAAAATGAATCATAGCCTCTCTGCTACATATTTTTGACTCTTAGCTGTAGGCACCAGTCTGAGAGCTAAATCAGGTAAGTAGGGAGAGATTGCTCCCATTGGCAGAAAGATCAGAACTAGAGGATAACCATTTACCGAACACAAAGGCAACATGAGGAAAACCTTTTATACAGCAAGAGGATGTAGACTGCGTTGTGTGATGGTGTGGTGGAGACAAATTCAAAGAGATTTGGATAACTGAGGAGAGAAAGGTTTGCAGGGCTGTGGACGAAAGGAGAGGGACTGGGGCCAGGTAAATTGCTCTTGCAGAGAGTTGGCACAGACATGAGGGGATTAATTACCTCCTGTGTAGTTGTCTGAAAGTGCATCTACATATCCAATCACCCCACTTCCCATACAGTAAGATCAGGACAAAGTTCAGGCTCAGATATATTCATGGAAAGTAAATGTGTGCCATGCAATTGCTGGGCAATGACCATTGCCAATAGGAGAGAATCTAACCATCACCTCACGACATTCAACACCATTAGCTCTACTGCATCCCTTACTCTCAACATCCTGGGAGGTTACTGTTGACCAGAAAATTAACTAGACCAGGCATATCAATACAAGGGCACATTAAAGGTTGAAAACTGTGAATAGCTCACCTCCTGACTTCCCAAAGCCTGCCCATCTACAAGGCCCAAGTCAGGAGTGTGACAGAATACTCCCCACTTGCCTGGATGGATGCAGCTCCAACAACATTCATGATGCTTGACACCATCCAAATACCAACTGCTTGATCAACACCCCATCAACCATGTTAAATATTCTTCACTAACAGTAAATAGCGGCAGCAGTTTGTACCATCTATAGGATGTACTGCAACAACTCACCAAATCTTCTTTGGTAGCACTTTCCAAACCAAGATATCCACCACCAAGAAGAGCCGGTGATGTATGGCAACGCCACCAGCTCCAAGTCCCCATTTAAGGCACACACCATCCTGACTTGGAAATATATCACCATTCCTTCTGGGTAACAGCACACTGTGGGTGTCCCTACACCACATGGACTGTAGCTCAGTACTACCTACTCCAGGGCTACTGGGGATGATCTGCTGGCACCGAACTTTGCACACATACCAAAGGAGAGGCCTTTCAGTGTTGGCATTTGCCCTTTTTCTTCCCATTTTGAGCCATCTCCACTTGGTGCGGGAGGTCTTGAAAACGACCTTTTAAAGGAGCATTGTGCCGGAGTTGGAAAAATCTGAACACATGAGATTGTGACAGCGCAGCCAAGCCTTTGAGCAATTTGCTTAGATTTTCTGGTAGTAATGAGGAAATATGAAGTGAAACAGAAGAGGGAGTTCCTCTATCTGTGAAGTGGACATGGTGTCACCGTGGGAGTTGTCAGGAGGTTCCAAATCTTGTTCGTGTTGACAGTGTTATGTTATGATGCTGGCAACAGAGGCTGAGAGAAGATTCATCATTTCACCAGGGTGTGCCCAAGTAGGAAATATTGCCCAACAAATTACTTAATATTCAGCTAATACTCCGACAGGCGTAGCCTCTCACTCAAAAATGATGGAATTTAAATATTTTGATTACTTAAAATATGTGCCGCATTAGCAGCCAAAAATCTTTTTTCAGCCTTGCATCCATTTTGCACTGACACATTCTTTCCCAACATATTGAGGTATGATTTTAATCTAAAGCCTGCCCGTCAAAATGCAGCATAGAGGGAAGTCACTCACCTTACATTAGAGCTGTTTTAGTGACTTTGATGGAGAGCAATATTACACATAAGAATGGAAAACATAGGAGCACAAAGCAAAAATACTCACTAATTAATAGAAACCTAATGCAGAGGGCATGCACCTCACGGTTATACTTCATTTACAGCACTAATCACTTAAACCATAATGCAACTTTGCCTTAAATAAACCCTACAAACAGCCAGCCTTCTCACTCACACCCTCAACTGACTGCTCAGGCATTGGGATAACACTGTAAACTTCTGCTGTTTGAGGAATATAATTTTTTGCTGGTTAATCAAGAGGGCCAGTTCATAAGGTGCCAGTTAAAGCAAAGTTATAATCTGATAATGTAAATTCTTTTATTTAAACAATTCTGTGGAATCATTCGGATCTGTCTGAAATTTAGTTCAGTATTGGATGAAAAAGGCAGCACCTTCAACCGTGGGGTATTTCTTTGAACTGTCAGCCTAAAATATGCATCAAGCCTCTAGGCTATGCCTTTCCTCTTTCTCAGCTGTGACAATGCTGCCACTGAGCCATGAGTGATATTTATTTCAGTCAAACTGGATGAACACACAAATTAAGCCTTGTGAGACCCCAGCTGGAGTATTGTGTTCAGTTTCGGTCTCCTTATCTGGCGATGGAGGGAGTGCATGAAAGGTTTACCAAACTGAATCCTGGGACTGACATATAAAGAGACAGTGGATCGGTTAGGCCTATACTGACTGGGGTTTAGAAGAATAAGAGGGGGGATCTCATAGCACCCTATAAAATTCTAACAGGACTAGACAGGATACACACATGAAGGACGTTCCTCATGACCAGGGAGTCCAGAACTAGGCCTCACAGTCTAAGGGTATGGGGCAAGTCATTTAGGGCTGAGATGAGGAGAAATGTCATCACCCAGAGAGTGGTGAGCCTATGGAATTCTGTGCGCCAGAAAGCAGTTAAGGCCAAATCATTGAATGTTTTCAAGAAGGAGTTAGATATAGACCTTAGAATTAAAATGACCAAAGGGTACAGGGAGATAGCAGGAGCATGTTACTGAGTTGGATGATCAGCCATGATCATATTGAATGATCATGATCAGGGCCGAATGGCCTATTGCTGTTCCTATTTTCTATGTTTCTCTGTTTAATTTATTCTGAATTCAAATGCTTAGATAACTCAATTAAATAATATAACCTCAGGGGTACATTTCTAAAGGGGGGTGCAAGAGCAGATGTAGCGGGGGGGATAGAATTGTCATGTGGAAAAGTACGGATTAATAGGAACTACCAACACGGATTTCTTAATGGAAAACTATGTGTAACTAATTTACTGCAGTTGTTGAACAGTTTAAAAAAGGGTTAATAAGGACAAGGTTGTCAACACAGTGTACATAGTTTTCCAAAAGGCATTTGATTCAGTGTCATGCAATAGACTTGTGAGGAAAATTATAGCTTATGGATAAAATGGAACAAAAGTAACATGGATACAAAATTGATTGAAGGATAGAAAACAAGAAGTGATGGTTAATGGGGCATTTTTCAAGCTAGAGAAAAATGCATAGTGGAGTTCACATGGTCTAGATTTTGTATAGAAGATAATTAACAAGTTTATAAATGAGACAAAATTTGAAAGTATTGTGGACTGTGAGGAGGATAGAATAAAGCTAGACTAAGGAAATTTTGCCAAATTTGTATGTGGTACTGGTTAAGCCAGATAAAAACCGAAAGAAGTGCGGATGCTGTAAATCAGTAATGAAAACAGAAATTGATTGAAAAGGTCTGCAGGTCTGGCAGCATCTGTGGAGACAAATCAGAGTTAACATTTCAGGTCAAGTGACCTTTCCTCAGAATTGGAGTTTGTGCACAGTTATGGGTGCAACATTTTAGGAAGTAGGTGAATGAATCGGAGAGTGTGGAAGAAGTTTATGAGAATGGTTCCAGGGATGAGGAACTTCACTGTGAATATAGATTTTAGAAATGAGAACTGCTTTCTTCAGACAGGAGAAGTGTAAAATGAGACTTGATAGGAGTTTTCAACATCGTAAGAGAACTGGACAAAGTAGATAAGGAGAAACTGTTCCCTCTGATAAAAGAATCAAGTGTAAGAGGGCACAGATGGAAGGTAATTTGCAAAAGAAGGAAATGTGATGTGTTTTCATGCGACTTATACTTAGGGTACTGAACACACCATCTGGAAGTGTGACAGAGGCAGATTCATCAAGGCATTTAAGAGGGCATTAGATAATTATTTAAATAGAAACAACAGTCAGGATTATGAAATCCATTCAGAGAGCTAATGCAGATCCAATGGGCTGAATTACCCCCTTCTGCATAGTAAAACAGTACTTGAATTGTGTAAATGACAGCACAAGGCAACCACTCTCTCACATGACTGCTGTTATGTAGCTCAGTGGTCAGCATTACTGCCTCACTATAGCCCAGGACCTGGGTTTGATTCCACCCTCGGGTGACTGTCTGTGTAGAGTTTGCACATTCTCCCCGTGTCTGTGTGGGTTTCCTCCCACAGTCCAAACATGTGCAGGTTAGGTGGATTGGCCATGCTAAATTTCCCATAGTGTCCAGGGATATGTGGGTTAGCCATGGGAAATGTGGGGTTGCAGGGATAGGGCAGGGAAGGCCCTGCACTTTGGATTGTTAGAGTGGAGTTGATGGGCCAAAAGGCCAGCTTCCACACTGTAGGGATTGTACAAAAGGTGCGTGATTCTGTGATCTCTTGTGGCACGTATTTACCACTTTGCTTTTTCCTATCTTGTGCCCATTGCTCACCGACAAGTCTTGAGACGCAATCTCAGTTTGCTATTATCCTGAGATTATTTACCTGCAAAGCTCACATTAATTTTGCTTTTAAAAATATACCCAGCGCCATTTGCTTCTGTGGGTCTGCTAGCTGTCTGTAACTGCTTTTGATCATGCATCCTAGTTTCCTAATAGATAGCTAATCTCAAGTGACTGAATAGAAAAGCCTTGTATTTATATAGTGCCTCTTATGTCCAACGTCATCAGACATCCCTATATTTGTTAGCTTTGCCAAGCAGAAAAGGCTAAGCTTGATCAGTTAGGAGTGTTGAAATGTTGAGTGTGTTATGGTCTATGTCCCAAATGTAAATATTTGTTTAGTGCCATTGTGGCTTGGAATATTCTATTGTATTGTGGATTTTCAGCTGTGAAGAAATGATTTAAATGCCTTTATTTTTAAAGGTTTTGCAGCATATATATTTTTTTCGTACTTCCCAATTCAGTGTTCTTCAGCCTTGTGAACCTGTGAAAAGTTAATTGCTCAGAGAAACCACTACGTTGATTCACAGGGCCATGAATAGATAAAGGGAAAGCTCACCAGACGCTGAATTTAGATCCATTGTTTTGACAGTGTAAAGGAGCTTTGTCCTTGACCTGTCATCAAGAGTACTGTACATTTGTAGTGGTTGCACAGTGAAAAATGATCCATTCCTTAGCACAAATGTCTCCAATTCCAGAGCCCCATGCGGTGCAAGGTTCTACAGCATGATAACCCTTGTGTTAAAGAATTTCCTTCACCTTTCCAATACAGTACTTTTTGAAACAACTGCACAAAGGCCAGTATCCTGTCACCAAATCACCCTTTATTTATGTGTATGAGGGTAATGTGGGTTCTGGCCAGCCAGCTCAGAACCAGTCCCTAGAATCAGGAGACTCTCTGAATCTACAGCTTATAACTTTTTTATTTAACCTATTTTTCTAATCAACCTGTTCCAAGATGCTATTACACACCTCTGGTGCAAATGGGACTTGAACCCAGGCTTCCTGGTCCAGACATAGGGCATTACCACTGTGCCACAGAGCCCTAATCTCCTACTTATATCTGTCAGCCAGGGCTCCCTGATTGGCCCAGGTTAAAAGTCCCAATCAAGGATCTCATAGTCAATAAGATCCACCTGACCCTCGTTCCAAGCACTACACTCTTATAATAGTTGAGTCATTAACTTTTTGAATTTGTCAATGAGTGGAGACAAGGTTTCATTATTTATCCTTCGAACCCTCTCTTCCTTTTCAAAACCATTCAATTTTCCTTAATCCTTTTTATTTCAGTGAACAAACTCTGATTTTTTCAACTTTAGTTTTTCTCTCGGACCTCTAATTCCATATTACAATCCTGGTGACTCCTCAAAATGACTTTCCCAGGACTTTCAATTCCTCCTGCATTCAATCTTCCAAAGCAACCTAACTAACACATTGTTCATATTTATCATCACATTTTTATTTTTACATTCAATTTACATTTACATTTTGAAGCCTTTACAGACCTATTTGCCTTTTTAATGACCTTTCGTAAATGTAGTGCTGGATTTATTTGGTTTAGCGCAATTCTGAGAATCTCAGTTCTTTTTTAAAGGCTGACTTCCTTTTCTTAGCAGGATGGTCTGCTTCACAATGGTCTGAATTATGCATCCTTATACTCTATTTACGATACCTCACTAACCTGGTTATGTCTTCCCATAATTTCTTAATTTCCTCTTCAGTGTGCCACATGCCCAAATTTTGTATCATATGGACTTCAATTCCTTGTGACTATGCCCAAGTCACTGGTGTGTCGATGACCTAGTGGTATTATTGCTAGACTATTAATCCAGAAACTCAGCTAATGTTCTGGGAAACTGGGTTCAAATCCTGCCACAGCAGATGGTGGGGTGGGGTGAGGAGAAAAAAGTCTGGAGTTAAGAGTCTAATGATGACCGCAAATCTGTTGTTGGAGGAACCATCCATCTGGTTCACTAATGCCCTTTAGGGAAAGAAACTGCTATCATTGTCTGGCCTGGCCTACATGTCTCTAGATGAAAAGCAATGTGGTTGACTTTTAACCTCCTCTAGGCAATAAATACTAGCCTAGCCAGTGATGCTGCCTTCCTGTGAATAAATAAAGGGAAAAAAAAATTATTGACATAGGTGCAAGAGAGATTTCAGCAATGACCTGCTTTTACTTAGCACCTTAACACAGTTAGTGTACTTCAATAGGATCATCATCAAACCATGCTTGCTAATGGTGGAGTGAGACTAACTGGAGGCAATTTGCCACAGCTGGTGAAATATGGGGAGGTGATGGCCTAGCAGTATTATCACTGATTCAGATAATGTTTTTGGGACATGGATTTGAATCCCATCATGGCAGATGGTGGAATTTGAGTTCAATAAATACCTGGAATTAAGAGTCTTAACGATGACCCTGATTCGATTGTCAATTGTTGGAAAAATCCATCTGGTTCACTAATGCCCTTTAGGGAAGGAAACTGCCATCCTTACCTAGTCTGGCCTACATGTGACTCCAGACCCACAGCAATGTGGTTGACTCTTAACTGCCCTCTGGACAATTAGCAATGGGCAATAAACGCTGGCCTGGCCAACAACACCCTCATCTGTGAATGAATAAAGGACACAGAAATCTGAAGGTTGCGAATTGCTGGAGGTTTGAGAGGTAGTGGGTGTAACAGGAGGCTTTGGAAAGAAGGACAAAATTAACATTGAGGCAATGGAATACAGAGAAAGCCAACCAGTGCAGGGTTGATGGGACCAGCAGCCATCACATCTCCACATAGATTTAGTCTTTGTCTTTGGTGCGTGAATTCCTGTGACAACATTCTGGTCAAAAATTATTTGCTTCATATATCTTCTCTGAGATCATTTGTTAAATATTTCCTCAAAATTCAAATACACAACACCCATTGTTTTCCTTCCAAACACACTGAAATAAAAGCTGTCTTTCACAATCAATCCTTATGATCTGAAACATTTAAAATATACCTCTACAACTAAACCTTTGATCACCTGTTTTAACTTCTGGTTCACGTCAATCTTTATTTGAGTATTGCAAACAATCCTGGTCCCTTTATTTGAGGAAGGATGTAGTTGCATCGGAGACAGTTCTAACAAGATTCGCTGGATTGAAGTCAGAGCTGACAGATTTGTTTTATGATAAAAAGATTGAGCTGTTTAGGCCTATACTCTTTAGAGCTTAGAAGAATGAGAGGAGATCTAATTGAGGTCTAGAAGATGCTAAAGGGGATTGACAAAGTAGACAAAGAAAGGATGTTTCCTCATGTGGGGCCATTTAGAATGAGAGGGCATAGTTTTATGATAAGGAGGAGCAGATTTAAAACAGAGATTAGGAGAAATTATTTCTCTCAAAAGGTCATAAATCTGTGGAATTCACTCCCCACAGTGCAGAGGATGCTGAGACATTGAGTAAATTTAAGAAGGAGATAGGTAGATTTTTAATTAGTAATGGGTTGAAGGGCTATGAAGAACAGGCAAGATAGTTGTCTTGAGTCTGAGATGGATTCAGCCATGACAGTCCAAATAGCAGAGCAGGGTTAAGGGGCTGAATGGTCTACTCCTGCTCCTAGTTCTAAAACTACTATGAATTTTAAATTAAAAGGCATTTCAAATTAAAATTGCAATATAAATGGAACGTGTTGTCCGTGTCAATTTCCTTGTTTGATCATGCATAGTCGGTTGGAAGAAATAGACAAACCACTCAATTGCATCTCATTCAATTTTACTTAATAAATAAGAAGTTAAGAATAATTTACAGCCAAGGTAAATGGAAACTTGTTCATCAGTCACAAATCATTTGATGCTATATTTATAATTAGGGAGACACCTCCTTGCTCCTTAGGTGCACTGATAAATATGTACATTCCGTGTTTAAGATTTTACTCAGACTATTTGTAAAAGAGATGTCCGTACCCATGTGTATGAATCCATAACTCTTAGTGAGCAGCAGTACACATCTGACTCATTGAAATTAACTCTTTCACATATTAAACACAGTCTTGTTCTTCGAGTTTTAGCAACATTACATAGTAGTCAGGTTACATGTTCCAATTGCCCAACAAATGCTTGAGTTGTTTTCGTGTTCGCAATGAGATCAGAAAGTGACACCAGGTTCTTACGTTTTTCTTGCTATTGAGAGAAAAATAAAATGTTGTGCACCTTTGATTTCTCGACCAACATTCCCTGTTAAGTCTAGATCCTTGTCCGTGAATTCCAATAACAGATATAAATCTCGAAATTATATTAACAACTAGTTAAAACATCGTCTGCCGAATCACTGACAGTATTTGCAGGTTATTACACAAAAAAGAGAACTAGGCCATTCAGCCCCTCGAGCCTGCTCTGCCATTCAATATGATTGTGGTTGATCTTGGGCTTTAACTTAATTTTCACGCCCACATCCCTTATCCCCTGAGTCCCTGAGAGACAATAGTGAAATGTGTATCCCAGCCTTAACTGAATTCAATGATAGAGCACCCTCAACTCTCTCGGGTAGAGAAATGCCTGAGTGAAGAAATTTCTCCTCATCCCAATCCTAAAAGATCGATCCCTTATCCAGAGATGGTGGTCCTGTGTTTTAGTTTCCTCGATCAGCAGAAGTAATCTCTCAGAATCTACTTGATCAGCCTTGTCAGAACCTAGCATTTTTCAGTGAGATGTTGACAGGGTTGATATCTACATATTGCTCATTCCTAAAATCAAAACCAAAATGACTTGAAGGATGTTTGCTCTTGATTTGAAAACTCCCACAACAAAGTATACAGGGTTATGGGCCAAGTGCTGGAGAATGAGATTAGAATAGGTAGGTGCTTGTTTCCATCTGGCACAGACCTTTTTCTGTGCTGTAGATCTCTGTGACTATAAAATGTTCACTAGGAATCCTAACTCTAATCTATTAAAGTGCAGTTCTCTCATATCCTACTGCCCATCGAGACCTTTTGCCAGATTTCACATGTTTAAATGTTGGCATTGTTTAGTTTCAGAACAAAAAAACATTAAGTCTGACTATAAATAATTTGTCCCTCTTCGCACAGTTGCAGTTGATCCAAGTCTTGCATCTCCAAATAGTCTGAAACAAGGTACAGGTACAAGACTGCTACATTATCAAATAATCCACAAGACTGCTCACTTTCAATGGTACAGTGTTGGCTCAAGGCGTCTCGCTGCCATTTCACAAAATAAGCTAACGAAAACAGTCTTTAAAAAATAAAGTACACATAGAATTTTTACATCCTTCAGGAATTGCCCAGTGAAGCTGTTGCACTGTTGAGTGAGCTGGGTGTTGCATGGTAATCCTGTAAAATGAACAGAGAGGAGCATTCATTCAAAAGCAACCGAGTACTTCTGCCAAATGGACTGTATACACCCATCTCCTTAGCGCCACGGAATAGTTTGCATATTTAACCATCTTAGTTCTGTTTAATTCACTTCCTCTCATGAGTCAGCCCACACCATACCGTGTTATGAGATTTACTCATTGCTGCAGTCTCGTGAATGCATCTGTGAGAATTTCCAAACAGATGTAAGAACTGATGTGTAAACACTGTGGACAGAAACAGTCAAACACCAGTGGCAACAAAGGATTTGTTTTCTGTTTAACCTTGCTGATATATAGTCACAACAGACGTGTCAATCCCGTGCCTCCCTCTCCCTTCAGTCTCCTACCTCTTTCCCACTCTTGCCATGCTTGGCTCAGAGAGCCCTGTCACCTCTAATATCAGAAAGCCAAGGGGACAAGGGCCTGCCCAAAAATTACAGGCCACACACAATCCAGTGCTGAGGGAGTGCTGCTCTGTCAGATGCACCTCTCAAGCAGAAGCAGCAGATTCCATGGTACTATTTCGAGGAAGATTGGTGTTGTCCTGTTCACTATTTATTCCTCAAGCGACATCATCACCTGGTCATTATCTGGTCGCTATCACATTATTATTTGTGGGGGATTGCTGTGTGCCATTTGGTTGTTGCACTTGCATTAAAACGGTAAGCATTTCATTGGTTGTAAAGTACGTTAGCATCTGCTAAAGTAGTGAAAGGTGCTATACAAATGCACATCTTTCTTTCATCCCCTCAAACTTGACTGAGGTCAAGATTCAGCTGTCTATGGAAATCTTTATTTTCCAATATTAATACAGCAACATGGTACTTTGGTAATTAATAACATTGACTTGAAATATTGATATGTAAATTACCTTTTCAGTTCCAAGCATCTTCAGTCTTAAGTATAAACAACAAAGTCCTTGTTTTCAAAACCATTTTTAATATTCTGGAATTAAAAGATTTGGAAACAATTAATACACATTCAAAGCAGTTTCAATTCAAGAAAGGCTCATTATATGTTACTCAACCTAGAGTGACACCAGTTGTGGCATATTTTATGAATCAAGCCTTTTGCAATCCTTTGGAGTGACATTTCACAGTATTTTTGAAAGTTGGGAATACTGTATGCCACTTACAATTTTTGAGTGCCCTTAAATATAGGGTAACCCCCACAATGGCTCACACAGCCATGAGGCGGAAGAAAGCTACTTTTCAAAAACTGGCAAAAAAAAATTGGGCAAAGTATTGGATTTTCATAAATGCTTTAGAGCAGTAATTTCCAAATGTTTTGGGTTTGTGTGACTCCCTATTCATTTTACCAAGTTGATGCGTACCCTTGGAGGCATGTTCTTTTTCAACCATGTTTTGTAAATCCCAACCTCATCAACAGAATCACACACTAAGCATCCCCTACTTCCAGTCCAAGGACCGTCCTGTCAGTTACTTGTTCCTCCTCCTACACCCTTCTGCCAACTCATTCACTCACCATTCCCTCTTCCTAAACCTCCTCTTCCCTATTCACTCTGTCGAATCTTTGGGAGTCAACTCCAGCGGTGCCTGATCATCGGTCAGTGAGCCATCTCTCCCCACCCCTGCACTTGGGCTAGTCCTGCACTGAAGCACCATCTGATGTACGGTCATTCGCTCTCCCACTGTTTCACGCAGAGGGCGATGTATGTAAGGAATAAGCTGCCAGAGGAAATGGTGGAGGCTGGTGTGATTATAACGTTTAAAAGGCATCTGTAGGTTATATGAATAGGAATGGTTTAGAGGGAAATGGGCCAAATGCTGGCAAATGGGACTAGATTAATTTAGGATATCTGGTCGGCATGGATGACTTGGACCAAAGGGTCTGTTTCCGTGCTATACAACTCTATGAATCTATGTCTCTGTCTGAGAATCCCCAGCCTGTGGAGGAGAGAATTCCAAGGAATCATAACTCTTTATTTCATAGATTCATCACTACTGATTAAACCTTCTTCTTTACATTTTCAGCTTTGCACATAACCTATGGGTTCACCACAATGTTAATTGATCCCTTCATATCAATCGTCTTCTTTTTGGCCTTGGTGAGTAGCTAATAGTTGAATGCCTTTCCTGCAGCCAACTCTCTCCATTCACCTGGACTGAGAATTGGCATTAGTACATGGGATCTTGCCTGCACCAGTAACTAGATGCTTTTGTAGCCACAAGTCCTGGGGAGAGACTTAAACCCAGGACTTTCTGGATCAGAGGCAGGACAATACCTGCAACAGAGCCACTCCAGTGCCCATGTGAGGAAGCTACAAATTAATGGTGATTTCTTCAGCAAGTCCATTGCAAGGACATTCTAAAGCTCCTAAGAGGTAGATAATATCATCCTCTGTTGTTTTTAAATCATACTGAGCAGTGATCTCTTTCAAGACAACAAGGTGCAGGGCTGGATGAACACAGCAGGCCAAGCAGCATCATAGGAGCAGAGAGGCTGACGTTTCGGGCCTAGACCCTT